TATATATATTAAAAAGAACATGTTCATAGCAATTGCTTTTCTGTTTTCAGTGTCAAGTGACTGTCGTTACGGATGCTCCTCCCCCTCAGCTAATACCCACCGTTGGGAGTTATATATATATATATTAAAAAGAACATGTTCATAGCAATTGCTTTTCTGTTTTCAGTGTCAAGTGACTGTCGTTACGGATGCTCCTCCCCCTCAGCTAATACCCACCGTTGGGAGCGAACAAGTTGGTCACATCAAGACAGTCAACTGCTCATGTCCTCCTGGAGAAAAAGTTTGTATTAAGTCACTTAGGGTTTCTTTTGAGAAGGTCATGGGGAGAAATGGTTCGCTAATCGCAGTGTTAGCTGTTGATGTTATAAGTCGGATTTCAAAATATTAACCATTAAGTATGGGGAAGATCTAACATCTTTTCACTTCCTTCCCTCCCCTTTCTGGACATGAGACTTTGACTATGAGTTTTCCCTCTATCAACAGTCCCTTGAAGCTTCTCCCTTCCTAGATGGTGCATGTGTGTTGTTGCCATATGTAAAGCATGGACTAGACATTAACTGTCTCCGCAATCTGCAGCATAGTCGCCTAGAGAGTAAGCCCCACTAAAATCAAATGGAACTCACTTCCCAGTCGATACCGTTAGTCTCTTCTAGTTAAAAACAACACAGGGTTAACAGGTTTAGGACTTCAGAGCTGCATGACCCTTAATTCAGACCACCCATGTGAGGTAGGTCACTTGTATTGTCTGTTTTACAGCCCAGAATCTCAGCTTGATAGAGCTAATGTGGTGTGATGGACTTTTGAGATCTGGGGAAGGGAAAGGAGTTTGTAAGCCGCTCTGAGACTCCCTTGGGGAGTGAAGGGCGGGGTATAAATCCAATCTCTTCTCTCTCTTCTTCTTCATGTCCTGAAATGTTTACCACCTTGGGAATAGGGGCACACAGCATAGGAGGCTTTGGAGACACTGTTGTTGATGGTTACCGACTGTGGCTCCTCAAGCTCTTAAGTGTCTATGAGGGTGGAATGTCAACAGGGCTTGCAGTTAAGATTCACAGATGGGCTGCTGTTTTAAAACATTATCTGCAGAGAAAGAAAGTCCCCACTCTAAGGATCTTATCGTCTAGTTTAATACAAAGGAGAGAACTGAGGAAGGATAGCTAAATAAGTTTTTAAAAAATTAGATGGGGAAATTAAAGGTCAAAACTACATGCAATTAAATTGTCTTAAGTTTCATTTTGGGAGGAGGACTTGGGCGGAGGGGATGTTATCAGTTGACTCTGACCGAGAGCAGGAGCTGAAACAGGCTATATTCTAAAGGCAATTGACCATGCTGTGGCCATTGACTCCATGATGACCAGGGCAAGCCAACTGAGTTTGCGGACCATCCCCTAAAAGGATGCAAAACGGGATTCCTAACATGCTGCCAAGAACGGGAATGATCTTGATAAGTGATCTCTATTTCTCTTTTCAGGGTGAAAGGGGCTACCCTGGGTTTGAAGGCCTGAGAGGCCAGAAGGTTAGTACTGTCCAGTGGATGAAAGAGCTTTCTTGCCTATACCAAAAGTGTACATGCTGCTGTCAAACTCCATTCAAATAAAATCTGAATTTCTTTCTCTGGGGCTTCATGGGGGTCGCTTGTCGACCCTGAAAACAGGTATGCAAAGCAGGATTTTATGGGGAGAATGCAGTAGCTGTCTGCAGGAGCACAGCCGAAAGAGAGCCTTACAACATACCCAAAAGATGGTCGTCCAGCCTCCTCTTGAAAACATCCAGCGAAGGAGCATCCACCAACTCCCGAGGGGTATAATTTAATTTGTACACTGCCCTATCCCACGACTGGTCTCAGGGCAGCTTGTAACATAAGATTAATAAAACAATAAAAGTGGCAAAACCGATAAAACAACAGGTGGCACAATAAACCCATGCCTTATTGCAGGTGAATGAGAAACTCTAGTGGCCAAGTAATGCTACCTAAAGCAGCAGGGCACTGGGAAGTGGCCATGAACAGGGGGAACCAGAATGGGTGGATGTCCGCCACCTCAACCGAAAGCTTGTTGGAACATCTCCGTGTGGGGTATTACAAGTTGAAAACACTCAGTATATCCGGGGTTAAATGTTTGTTTATGTTACTCACAGGAAGTCACATGTTTCTCATGTAACCAATGTTCTTTAGCTGTAGGATGCCTGGGAATTTTCTCCCTGATCTAGGGATTTGATTGGGACTAAAGTGTCAAGGTGTATTACCGTTTTATGGCTTCTCTTCCCGTCTTTGTTTTGGTGTTCTGAAGAAGAAGAAGAGTAGCCATAATCTCTCTCTTCTAGTTTTGTCTTTGTAGAGTAAGGATGTAGCCGATTTAGCTCTGTTGTTATTTTCATCCCAGTTACCCTTCCCATGCTAGGATTTAGTGAAAACTTTATATTTTAACCACACATGGACTCTCAGTCTGAATTATTTTACTCTGGCTCTGCTGGACTATCTTATCTCTGCTAAATACCATTTTTTCAATATCTCACTATCACCCAACACTCTGCTTTATGGGCCTTGCAGAACTGCAATAGGTCCCGCGGGGCCCTTATCTCGGGTGGGAGCACGTTCCGCCACATTGGGGAAAGGGTAAAAAAAGCCCTTGCCCGGGTTGAGGCCAAGTGGACGTCCCTCTGGCCAGGGGTCACCAGTGTTAGAAGTGGAGGACTTGGCGCTGTCTCCTGCCTCAGTCTTGAGAAGGTGGCATCAAAGAGTTTAGACAGATAGAGGTCAGGACACACAGAGCATCCTTTCCTTCCTGCTATCTGATCCTTTCTTTTGAAGTAGGATGCTACTCTTAGGGGCAGTTTCCTCTGCTTCCGCTCCCTCCCTCACTCTCTGTCTCCCACGCAGGAAGAAGGTGCCTGATCTCCATCTTGCACCACAGTGGCTGGACATGCATCCAGCATCCAACACCATCTAGCTAGTTAGAACAGGCAATCTGTATATATATCTCTTAACTGCACTCTCAGCCATGCATTTCCTTTAATACATGTTACTTAATAGTTTTAGAACTGACTGCTGACTCTATGCGACTTTGTAAGTGTTGGGTGATAGTGAGATATTGAAAAATGGTATTTAGCAGAGATAAGATAGTCCAGCAGAGCCAGAGTAAAATAATTCAGACTGAGAGTCCATGTGTGATTAAAATATAACGTTTTTACTGAATTCTAGCATGGGAAGGTTAACTGGGATGAAAATAACAACAGAGCATAATCGGCTACATCCTTACTCTACAAAGACAAAACTAGAAGAATTAGGGCTGCTCTTCTTCTTCTTCAGAACACCAAACAAAGATGGGAAGAGAAGCCATACAATAGTAATACACCTTGACACTTTAGTCCCAATCAAATTCCCGGATCAGGGAGAAAATTCCCGGGCATCCTACAGCTAAAGAACATTGGTTACATGAGAAACATGTGACTTCCTGTGAGTAACATAAACAAACATTTAACCCCAGATATACTGAGTGTTTTCAACTTGTAATACCCAACAGTAAGTCTGTTGCCGCCCCAAGCCCCGCTGTGTTTAAGCCTTTGAGCACTCTGCTATTTTTCCGTGGTTCCCTGGCAGTACCTCATCCCAAAAATCCAACAACCAGGAGGTGCTGACCGGAAGAGCATAAAGCTCTCCAGGGCTCATATGGGAAGAGGCGGTCCTGCAGTTGTGATGGTCCCAGGCCGCATAGGGCTTTAAAGGTCAAAACCATAACCTTGGACCAGATCTGGTATTCGATGACCCATGTAGCCGCCTCCAAACACGTATCTGACTGCGTGATCCAAACTTTGTTTAACTCCCACCCCCCCTTCATGGCTTAAAGAGATGTATTTCGGGAGCCATGTCCCCCGCTGATTCAAAACACCAGATAGCGATACCTTTGCGCTGTTCCCATTTCCATTTAAAGCAGCGAGGGAACGGGGCCTCGTGTTCCTCCGGGTCTATAAATAGAAGCTCCCCATTTTAATCGGTGACAGTTTAAGTGATGAGGGACCTTCTGCCGAATGACATGAGAAATTACTGCACGGAGGGAAAGTATAGGCGGGCGACAATAGAAAGGGTATATTTTTAACGGCAACCGTCCCCCAAGCGCAGGGATCTATAGCAGGCTTCGGAAATGCCACTGCACCGCCGCTTTAATATCACCGAAATGAAATTCCGTAGAGAGAGAGAGATGGCTGAATTGGAAGCGGGCCTTCAGGCATCCATTGCATTTAGAGCATCTCCGTATCTCCGCTCAGTGGAGCCCATGACAATGCCGACTCCTCCTTAGCACACAGAGTAGACTATCCACCTACACATCTCTATACTTGCGCTCAGGGGTCATTTCCTGCAGGAGCG